GGAATAGAAGCTCTATAAATGGTACCAAGAACAACATACCTTATTCTTGTCCCTTCTTCAGGGAAGTGTATTGCTGTCATTCGTCTCAAATTTTGACATACTAGTTATTGCTTTCCTTATATTCACCATTTTCCTGGTTCCAAATGTGGGGTGATGTTTTATAGCATGAGCTTATTCGGGACTATCATTAGACATTGCTGCAAATCTGACAAAAGTTATTTGGTTTCCATTCTCTCCTGGGATTAATTTTTGAGATTTGGGTATGTAAGGATTCTAGTTGGCAGCCCCCCCCTCTCTGTGAATCTAAGGCTACGGTAAAACACCAAGCAAAAAAGACAACTTAGGTCATGTCAACTTATAAAAGGTCACTACAACCAATTAATGGGATATCAAAAATTTAAACTTCTATATTATTAGTACAGGTTTGGTGAGCTAACTAATTATCGAAATTATTTGTCTCTTTAAAGACGTGTTCAAAGGTGATTGCCCAATTTCTTATAGCAAGTTCTCTGATTTTGTTAATAGTTTCAACAAGCAAATGATTAACAGGAAAGTCATTACAGATAAGCATAAGTCTTTCAATCGAGTCAAAATAGATGTTGGCTTTGTTAAACTTTTTATTCCAGTAGATGATAAGATGTTCAAGAATACTCATGAGCTCAGTGACTGTGCTAAGATGATATTCAAAGTATTTTGAGAAACCTATAATTCAATTCTCTTTGTCATCTTGAATGAGTCCATTATAAGTAGCTACATCATAGTTGTTTATTGATTCGTCAATGTCAAGTATGATCCCTCTTGTCCTAAGGGGCACCATTTTGCTTGTAATCTTTCACTTTGAGGAGACAAGTAATTGAGTTTGATTGAAGGTTGATATTACTAAGAATATCTTAAATGCTTGTAAAAGCAATATCTTTGTCTTCCAAGCTTTCTTTTAAGTAAATATGTTTACATCTTTCCTTCAAATGTCCTAGCATATATAGGCAAAGAGCCTTTGTTAATGGATTTTTCTTATACTTGAACTTCTTGCATCGTTCTTTCCATTCCAAAGTATTCATTCCTACAATGAGAGAGAAAAGAAAGTTTTGAATTCAGTTTGTTCCACTAATTTCATCCAAACCACTCTAGCTTTCCTACAGTCTCTTAAAATAAGGATGGATGAGTCCAAGGTATTATGACCAAGACAGTATGTTGTGAGACAAGGGTTGGCATCATTAAAGTGGCTAAACTTAGATTGTAGACAATCCCAAGCTGTTTTCTAAAGAAAAGATTTCATTTTCTCATAAAGGGGTGATTTTCAAATCTCAAATCAAATATTAAAGCTGGTGTTATCTCTATAGTTCTCAATAGTCTTATAAGCACATGTAATTGTGAAGTTATCATTAGTAGGAAGCATCTAATAAAGAACATCATCATTTGCAAGGGGATTGGGAGGTTGGATAAGTGTAATGAGGTTGACAATATCTTGGTGAAAATATCTATGTAATTAAGCTACTTTCCAATCGTTAACAGCAGAGCAGAAATCAAAAACTTTAGCATGAAGAACAAAATTTACTTTATGAGAGGCATACTTAGCAAGAGGTTTAGAAAGAGGGGACCATTTGTCATATCAGAAGGATGTTTGATCCCTCTTTCCGACCCTCCAGCCCATATGAGATATAAACGGACTCCAAACTTTACAAATATTAGTCCAGAACAAGAATTGGTCATGGGAATGATTGATTTATTGCATTTATATTAGTCACTCAAGACTCAAATCCAAAGATAGATTGGCTTGGTAATGATAACCCATCAAAGTTTTATATTATGAAGCATCAATACATGTATGAGTATTAGATACGATGCGGCTTAATACATGGACAAAGCAATTTTTAAAAATTTTAAGGTACAAGCATGGCTATATAAATAATTAAATATTAAGTATTTAGAGATACAAGTATTTTTAATTTCATAATTTCATACTATATTGCAGATTTAATTTATATTAAAAAATTATAAACAATTTTTTGTAGTTCTAATATGAAGAGGGTTAATAAAAATTTAAAAACAAACTAATGTTTAACTCAATAAATAATCCATCTAAATGAAAAAAAAAATCAATAATATTATATTACATTTAAAAATAAGTTAATAACATTTAAAAAAGATTATTGAATCAATAAGAAGTGACCAGTGTGGGTGACTCTTAGAATTGGCACTTCGGCTTTAACTGCACTGGACCAGATAACAATAAGTCATCAACAGAGGCGGGCAATTTTAGAATCGAAACTCTGCGCGGAACGAAAGAACGAAGAAGCGACCAGAGATTAGAGTAGAAGCACCGGAGAAGAAGATGAAGAACTTACCTTAGACTCGAAGGGACAAAGCGATGGAATCATGGACAGCTGGACAGACAATGCTTGGAGTGACTAAAGAGACAGAGCACCGTGACTGAAGAAGCACCGTAACTGAAGATGGACAATGCTCGGAGAGATAGAACGAAGCTCAACGTAAGACGCAACGGGTTTTGGGAGTGAAGGTGGAAAGGATCAACTGGAAGATATGGCATCTAATTTCTGAAAAAGTAAAAAAAGAAAGGCCAAAATGCAGAGTCCCAAGTCCAACCCGCGTCCATTTGAACCTGCCCATGTCTGCCTGTGTTCAAATGTGTCCGACTGAAAATGAAAAAGCGGACACACCACTTCCGCATCCTAAACGTGTGTCCGTGTTGGATATGTGTCGGATACATATCCAACACGAATACGACGGCAATTTGCACATATTTGTGCTTCCTAACGCAGGCCTTATTTTGATTTTTTAGCCTTTTGAGGTCAAGATCAACACAATTTTTATCCTTAATGATATGACCCTAGGAAATGAGATGTGGTTTGAGAGTGAGGAGACATAAAGGTATGCTATAAAAGCAAAAGAATACTGCAAACCTGAATGGGATTGGGGAGCCAGAGAATACTCATGGTAAGTCAAATCATATAAAGCCTGGTTCTTCTGGTATAACTCCTCTCTGTAATTTGTACTCGATCTTCTCTTCCTTGAAAAGTAACTATGCAAGGATAGTTTGCTCCAAAAAAAATTATTATTATTTTTTAGCTTTCCTTTGGGTAATAATGAAAATCTACCACCAATGCTACCGTAAATTTGACTCTTCCTCTACTGAAGTCTATACCCTAATTGCTTTGTAGACTTTTCAATAAAGAAGCTTTTTTTTTTTAGACTAATTGTCTGTGCCATGATTACTGAATTAAATAAATAAACAACGATTTGTTCTGGAGTTCGTGCTGGTCTAAAAGCAGCTAAACTTTCTGTCTCAATACGATAGACTTAGGTCACATTGGTTACTTGTTTTGCTGATATTGCCTTTTAGTTTTAACTGATGCATTTGAACCTCAAGCATGTCTTGGGATTTGCATATGTATGCCCCCAGGCATTTCACTCTATTAAATATTATTCTTATAATGATTATCAGTGTGATTAGTGTCGGGACTTTTGTACTTATAGATCTTCAAAGTATCATAATTTCTATTTGTTTGAAATTGTGATTACTATTAGTGGGTTAGAAAAATTAACTCAGCATACAGTGCTGTTGATTCGAATTTGTGGTTGTTCTTGGCTCGAGACCGTGTACAATCAGTGCTAATAGGGTTTTATATTTGTTATTCATTTGACATCCAGGATTCAGTAGTGAAACTGAAACTCTCCCTCTTGTTCACCTCACTCCGTTATATCGACTGAAGGAGGTCTTAAAACTCATTGCACTTCCCCTCCATTTGAGATTTTTGAGTCTTTGATCCAGGATGTGTCCAGGCTGCTCGTTACCACAAAGAGTAGTTATTATGATCCACGCGCAAGCAAGCAGTTGCCTCATCTGCCAAGCTTTCAGGATTTCCTAAGTTCAAATGGTTTTGGCCTTCACGATAGAACTAATTCTCAGCTAAGCCATTAACGAGAAGCGTGTACCATGGTAAAATGGGCGAGGTAGGTGCCATTGCTTCTATGGATACCTAACTTTTTAGTATTTTTATATTTAGTTTTCCCCCTTTCTCTTTCACTCCCCCAACTCTTTTTGCGAGGTATTTCACTGTGATTTTCCTAAAAATGCGAAATTTGGAGGTCAGGTGGATCGATAAGAAAGGATGTTATTTATTCTGTCCGCATGTACACTCGTTTGACTGTTTTGAGTTTCCTGTATGCCAAGCTTTCTTTTTTCTCTATATTTGACTAGTTTGGCCAACGTGCACCTCCACAAGTAACGGACCACTTAAAATCTCCACTTTACATTGTTCCCGCATGATGCATATATGAGGCGTAGATTGTATTCTAGGTTCTTAAAATTCGGTGACCATGGACTTCAATAGATTTAAGATGTTGACCCTGATGGTTGCACCCTTCGGCTTATCAATGTTTCTGTTCTTTCAAGAACGCAAAGAAATATACAGAACTTGCAATGAGAGCAATGCCTTTCTTGTTATGCCTCACTGTCACTGCTTCACGTTTTTGTCTGACTGATGAGCATTGTCCAGGATTATTAGCTGCTGCACAAACTCTGTATGACATTGGGACTTGCCAGCTTAAGTAAAACCCACATGGTATTGTGAGGTCACGAAGGAATGAAGACTTCATGTAAGATCATGAAACCTCACAGCTTGAAAACGAACGCGAACCATAAAGAAGCAATCACAGCAATTTCAGTGATTGGACATGACCTGGTGATCTGAAGCGTGAAGCATACACCATGGATTGGAAAAGGGAAAACAGACGTCAGATTGATCAGACATGATCCATTTTAGGTAAAAAGCTGCTTTTATATATTATCGTGGGGCCTGGCGGCAACGAGACTGTTGTAACTTGCGGTGACTCAAGTGATGTAATTTTAAACTTCAGTCTTATAAAAAGAGCAGAATCATTTGGCCGGGCATTTATAGAAAAAATAAATAGCATTCCGCCTTTTATATTTTCCCCCTTCATCCTTTTATTTCCCCCAAAAAATTGTTTGAACAAGGTAATCATGACAAGAGACCAATCTCGAATTGTATTACTCCTTCTCAAAATATTCATGCACATAGTATGATTGGTGGCTAACGGGAAAACAAGCAAAGTGTCATGAAAACATTTGATCAAGGAGTAAAACGAGAGCCATGGCAAACCCAGCATCAAAACCCGGCTGTACAATCAACTGAAAAACATCTATTCCAAACGACACGTTTTTGCTACTGGCTTCCTTCCTCTTAATCTCAGCAACGACCTCCTTCGACTCATCCAACACCTTACATGTCCTGCGTGCATAAGAACCTTCAATTGAAAACGCGTGTCGTTTATCTGAAGTCCCACGGTATACAGTCGCCTGAACGTTGGGATTACCCTGTAAAATATTCACACGCCTCCTCACACGGAAAATCGGACTCTCCGCCGATCCATTCCTCAAACGGCAGTCGCCCACTTCCCCTTCGTATATAAACCAGCAATCTCCAAGTCCGAGTTTCTGCAATCACAATCATATATCGTGAATAACATTAACAAAATATTCCGAAACTACTTTTTGGTTTGTTTGGAAGGCTAGAGGTGATACCCTACGGCGGCGCATGGTGAGGACAGATTTTCCGGCGCCGTCCATGAGAACGACTTCCTCTGGGCGCTCGATATAGTTATCGACCCGATACACCAAATTTCCATCAGAATCGATCACCGTGAATCCTTCACAACTAATTACAAGTGACTTCCTCCAGACTGTTAGCGATGAGCATGGAGTTCCTTCGGTTCTCGGGTACGCTTTCTTCTCCTGCTCACTATCTCGTTCCTCGTGCACTGCTCTAGAAAGCGATTTGAACTTCGGAAACATCCTCATCTTTTTTCCCCCTGTTTCTCTGTATGTATGTCTGCTTCTGGTCTGTTAAATAGTTTTCTAGATATCGAGCTACAACGTGTGTGTGTGGATCCCACGCGCGCACATTTAATTAATTATTAATTATTCTCGAATAGAAAGGACGTTGCTGTTTGGTTAAAATTTAAACTTGTGGTGATGGTGAGAAGGGAAGCAACTGAAAACATGACATGTTGGCTTACACCGATAAGCACACAATGGCTTTTGGAACAATGCCTAGGGCGACAATGCTGATGCGCCTCTCTAAACTGTTCTACAGTTACTAGGGGCTGGTGCCTTGTTCGTTCTTTCTTTCTCTTCTCTTTGACATTTTTTTTTTTTTCGTGAAAGGGACTTTTTGGTGGTGACAAAGTTGAAGTACCCGACGATATTATAATTAGATACGAGTATTGATGAAAATTATGAACAATTAACAAGTGTTGGAGAAAGAGGACGCGTGTATGCCTAGCTAGGTCGTATTGAAGGTCTCCTAATAAGATTCCAGAATTCTGGTCTTGTTTTCAAGCGTGAGCTTATGGTCCTTGGTTGATGGTTACATTTATATGGAAAAAGATTCTCAGGAAAGAGACACAAAGCAGAACCAAGACACAATCAAGAGGACGGACTGATATTCTTGTTTAAAAAAAGAATTACCAACGTTCTGATTTCCATTCACAATGTGTCACAATTAAACTTTTACAAAAGGTTAAGTAACAAAAATATCTCAAAAGTTTTTAAAATGAAACACTAAGTATCCTTACATTATAAGGAGCAATGTCACTTTGAAAATGTTGAAAATAAAGCGATGTTGTCATTTTCTAATACTTAACTAACTAAGTGTTGAAATTGCTAATGTGGCAAGCCACATGGCACTTTGCCTAGGGAAGGAGAAGGAGGAAGACAATGAAATTCTTCAAATAACCCATATTCTCATATTTTAGAACAAGGAAGGCAATGAGATTCATTTCAGGAGAAGAAAGGGATAGATCAATATGTGAGAATTCACAATATGAATCAAGTAGAAGAGAAAGGATTCATCGAACATTGACAGACCCAAGTCTTCGTGCAACAACAATCCATCTCATCAACCTCCAACATTTGAACTTGTACATGCATTTTGATTTGGACAAGAATGATTGTTACTAACCAAAACTTTTATACCCTTTGAGCTTTTAAAAATTTTTCACTCAGTCTCAAAATGAGAAAATCAAAACCCTTAAATCTCGAATTCTCCTATCAACCACAAAGGTAATCCTAGCGTCAAATCAATTAGACCCTTCAAGAAGAAAACAAAAGCAATTTACAATAATCAATCAATTGAAGACATGTCAATATAGTTAATTGGGACTACAAAATTGTTTGTATTAAACTAACAACCTCTTCAAGTCAATGTCATTGCTCTTATTGCAATGTGCATTGGCTCGAATTACAATTATCAGAGCTTGCATATTGTGCTTAATTTTCATAAGGTACATGTTGTTTATCACAAGTGCAATGGTCGTGGCAAGTAATATAATAAAAGTAAAGTATCGTTCCTTCAAGGATTTGTTTAAAAAATAATGATCAAACAAAAGATTAAGTAAGTTCAATCAAGTTGAGTCAAACATAATTAGGTGAAAATAATTTTACAAACTAAATTAACACTAGAAAATAAAAAAAGAGAGTGATTCACAAACTTTAAGCACAAATTGAAACTTAGGATTATTTATCCTCCTTACATTTCATAACACTAAAATTATCTCCTCTCATAAATGCTTTTAATAAAAAAAAGTTCTAACTTAGGGTTTTAAAAATACTTGAACAAACTCTCTTATGTCATAAACAAATGTTTAGTTAAATTAATTGTCCAATCTATTGTTATAACTAATAAAACTCAATTTTAAACACCAACTCTAATGTGGCTATGCAAGGCTAGTAAGTTTATCTTTATCTTACAAGCAAAACTATTCATTCAACATGCAAATATCAAGTTTTTGCATTATTTTACCTAAGTTTTATATTCAACCTAGCCCTCTTAAACATCGATTAAGTGAACCCAACATCTAAATGGTGGCCAATCACTTAGAAACATTAAGAAAAAAGTAAAATAAATGCATATGTATCATTAATTACAAAAAGAGAGAAAGAACATAGTGTTAATCCAAACAAGGGTTCCAAATAATCCTAAAACAAAGTTTAACTACTTATAATTATCAAAAAGATACAAATACATAAAATATGTAGACCCATATCAGAATATAAAAGAGGAAAGGGAAGAGGAACAAAAAAAAAACAAAGAAAATGACCTCCAAATGTCTTCAAAACTCCATTCTCTTGGATCTCACTTTTCTAATGCCTAAACCCTAGCAACAAAGCTCCAAATGATTGCTCAAAGTTTGAATAATGCTCTTATATGCATCATACCAAAGCATTTTCAGATAAATAAAACAGAGTGTTTTACTGTCAATGTCAAAAGACTCAAGCGAAAGTCAAGATTTTGGCAGTTTTGCACACAACTAATGAAAATTATTTACTTTGTACTTGATTTTTTCATCTAAAAGCTTTTTGAAAATATCAACAAAATTCCAAAAATGCATCTGATGAAATTTTAAACTAAAATAATATGAAAGTAGGCTAAAAATATTTAATCAAAGCTAATAATACAAACCCAAAACAAAATGTATATTTTTTTAATTTTGACAATAAAAATATATACAATTGTTAGAATGAGTTAGAATTTAAAAAAAATGTAATGAAATGACATAAAAATCTAGAGATTAACAGTAAAAAAAATCTCTCTTTCTACAAACAAGACAATCTTGCCCTAAGACTAAGGTAACAAAATCACACAGATCATATGATTTAAGGCATGATTGCCTGTACCTTTGTTAATGGCTTTTGAAGTGGGTTCCATGGTCTCAACAGTAAAAGGGATAAATGAGAGCCTGTGGTGCGAGATAGGTTCATAAATTTCCTGCATGACTTTGGAACGAAGAAGAACTTGTTGGCACAGTTGTGTAGCCTTTTGCCTTTGGTAATAATGGATTTCACGTCAACAATAGCCACTGGTATGCCATTAGTGGATTTGTAGCCCTGCATGAAAACTCAGCCAATTTGGAAAGGATCCTCCTTAGAGGGCTTCAAAGGCTACTGCTCTTCACTATATTGCTCCAGCATGTTGATGATGGTGCAGCTAATGCAGGATTTTGGCACTGACGTCAATAAAAAAATCTACCACCACATCAGTGACATCCTCTTCTGCATACAAATTCCTGGCGCTCGTGACTTGGATTCCATGGCAATGGCACTCAACTAAATCTATGTGGGAGATCTATGCACTTGTGGGACGTATCTACAAGGGCGAGTGATATTTTTAAAGGAAGAAGAAGGCTTGAGGAAGGAAGAAGATGGAGAAAAGGAGAGTGAGGAAGGAGAAGAGCTAGAGGATGAGTGAGGAAAGAGAAGGTTGCAAGTGTTTTTTTGATTATCTTTTAAAAATTTTGGGTGCCTGTCATGTGATAAATGAGAAAAAACAAACGGTTAACCCTAATGCTAGGGTAAAATTGTATAACTTTTAAAAGTTTTAGAATGACATTACTTTATTTTCAACACTTCCAAAGCGACATTGTTTCTTATAAATGTAAGGGTATCTAGTGCTTCATTTTAAAAACTTTCAATGAATTTTTACCCCTTAACCTTTCACAAAATGAAGGCAGGAGTGAATTCTTGGTTTTAGAAAAGAGATTCCTACCTGGTCCATATATTGTTCTGCCTTGTGACCGCTTGTTGCATGTGGTCATTATACTTGTTACATACATATGATTTGGTTAAAAAAAATCTTATATTATTGAAAAAGATATGCAGATATCATGTGATTATTACTAATGTAGATTTTTTACGCTGCACCAAGTCTAAGCAAGTTTTGTTAGAGTTTTTATATTATATATAAATAATTAACTATATTGTTATAGTTTAGTTGAAGATTCTAATAGTAAACCTATAAAAGCTATGCATAGTTTACTAATTATTTATCAAATTATATCCTTTTAAATTATAATACATTTTCTTGTGGTAGAAACAACATTTTGTTTTATAAATACTATATTTTATAGTATGAAAATAATACATAATCATTTAGTCGAAATCGATTATAATTATAACTTTTTTGCATCACAAAAGACATTATTATATTATAATTATGAGATGTAATTCGTTGGCAAGAAAAATGAGATGTAATTGTTTTAAATGATAGAGTATAAAGAAAAATATAGCTTTATCCTCCACTGGGGAGAGGGAGGGAGGGAGCATAATTCATCCTAATCCAACACAATAGAGAATGTTACTGGTGCAAAAGCACGAGAAGGGTAGTCAAATAGAACCCAACACGTATTTACTTATTTATTTATTTTTTGTTGGACTGGGAATCCAGCATGTTTTTAAAATAATGAAAAGTAAAGGCAAGGCTATATGATAGGAATGAGAATAAATGTTAAAAAAAACAAACAATATGAAATGGTGGGAAAATCAAGTGGCATTTTCAGTACTCTGGTGTGCATATATAGTTGAACTAATTTTTATCTTTATTGGAAAGGAATTTTTTTTATAGAGAGGTGCCGATAAAAAGATGTTTTTGATATTGGTATTAATATTATTGAAAACGAGTAATAACCATAATACAGCGCGTGAGCAAATATAATAGGGAAAATTTTTAGATAAATTAGTTACACCACGTTAATTATTATCTGTCTATTTAAAATGCTGGAACACGTCTAAATAAAATCTTACATAATATTTTTTTAATTAATTTTATTCTTATAATAGAATGTATATTTAATTTCTTATCTTTTTATCTCTGCTATTATTAATGTCAAAATAAATTTATATTTAATAATATCTGAATGTCATGTTTTTATTAGACATACTATAAATAATGTGATACACTTAATTTATGTAAAAATTTCTTATATAGTGCGTGTCACATGGGCACAGGCTCAAACCTATGAGTCAAACTCAAAATAACACATCTCCTAAATCCTAAAATTAATTCTTTATAATATGATACATATTCTCTCTGTTTAAAAATATAAAATATTTTTAATTTAATTTT